ACACTTCTGCTAACTAATACACTTACACACTGACTCACAACTCATTATATACATACATGCATAGAGAGCGCTTTTTGCTTGAATTTTTGACTTTTTGATGTGTAACTTAAGAATATCAGATTTCTAACAGAACTGCCATGTCTCACATGTTTATTAACGTAAAAAAGATTTCACAGCCTCAATATAAATGTGTGTAATACACTAAAGTAGACACAACAAACACATACATGCAACTATTATTGTTGATCTTCAGCATAAGATGTGTTCTGCATTTGTGACAATTATAAAGCTGCTGTATCCAAAAAAAATAGAAACAGAATCAATAATAAAGCTGTTGTATCTAAAATAGAATTAGATTTGAATTTTAATAAAATACAATTTACATTTTTTCAAACAGTAGCAGTAAGGATTAAGCAAACAAATTAAATAAAATGTAAGTAAAATCATTTATATTGAGACTGTCTACATTATGCAATACTTGTTTTTGAACAGCAGGTGGCACTATTGTCTAACAATTGTATGCTGGTCTGTTCTGAACGAGCCAGGAGGAAACAATAAGAACTGATCCCAGGCATCAAGAAAACTAAATTAAATTCAGCCACTGTCACATTACATTACTTACATCTGTGGAGATGAAGCAAATTTGCACTTGACATCACTAAACATCCACTTTTTCTCTTGGTATCAGGGATCTTGTTCATTTGTTATTTCTTTGAGTCTGAGTGTTAAATGTGAGCAGATAATAAATAGATCTGTGTGTGTGCTCTGAAACGTTGCATATGGTACTTCCATCAATAATTTCATGAATCCCTCATCTTTTAAAGTATTGTTTTATTTTGAATGTTGAAACACCCTCCAATCACGCATGGCCAAAAAATATCAGATTTAAAAGTGTTTGCTCTGTATTATGCACCAGATATGTGTTACTTATCCTTAATAAAACTGTGTTTGTCAAACATTTGCTTCCAGGATCTTACTTTCTCTGTGTGACCTGAGCAAGACACATATAAGTGTACCTTTAGGCCTGCAGCTTTATCAATATGTAGAAGTGATTTCACTTCTGAAGAGAAAACAGCGGTTCTCTCTGATGGAGTTAGTGGAGACGCTTCAGGAGAGAGCGCTGGTTCTCCTGCTGTGTTTCTCTCAGGGGGAACTTTAGCCAGCAAACTATTTATACCTCAGCTGTCTGACTGACTGGCGCCCAGGGAACTGGGACACCGTGTGTGTGTGTGTGTGTGTTTGGTCAGTGTCTAGATGGACAGATGACTTTCTGGTGATGTGTGTGAGACAGACAGACAAAGAGAGAGACCTGTGAGATAAATAGATTTATATCTATATGAAATAGATATCTTAAATTTACATCATTCTAGTTTCTATGTTTTTATACTTAAATTCCTGTCTCATATTTATGATTGCCTTTTTATTAATTTTTTTTTGAGTTTTTTATTTATGAAGTACCTTGTAACCTAGTTTACAGAAGTGCTATATAAATAAAATATAAGACATCTAGATATAAAATGTATATAAATCAAAAATACCTAAATATCTAATTAGATTATATGAATTATCATAATATAACCATTTATTATATGCTATCGTTGTTAAAGCTAACAATCAGACATGTTAATAAAATGCATCTATAATTCTCAGAGGGAAGGAGGAAGAGGAGGAAGAGGAGGAGGAGGAAGAGGAGGGGGCGTGCTGTTACGTCTCGGGGGCGCGCTCGCTCCGCCGCGCTGACGTCACGGGAGCGCCCGAGCACCGGGGGGAGGCAGTCAGTCAGAGACCGAGCAGAGAGGGAGACACACGGGGAGAAGAGGGAGAGAGACACCGAGCAGACAGAGAGACAGCTGCGGTTCCCAGGAGCAGACAGACAGGCAGGCTGCCCGGGAGAGAGCGCGTCACCTCGGCTGACCGTCTGGACCCTTGACGCGGCGTCACGGCAGCAGAACAACCGGAGAGCAGAAGATAGTGAACCCCCTCCTCCATCTTTTTTAACAGAGCTTATTTCACCGGAGAGGACACAGCCGCAGTGAGTACCGGAACTTACTCTGTGTGTGTGTGTGTGTGTGTGTGTGTGTGTGTGTGTGTGTGTGTGTGCGTGCGCGCGTGCGCGCGTGCACATGCATGATTCATAACATGGGCCTACGTGTGTGTGTGTGTGTGTGTGTGTGTGTGTGTGTGTGTGTGTGTGTGTGTGTGGTCCACATGTCTTTTTAACAGGAGCATGAACATGTATGAACACTGAGCTGCATCAGGTCTCAGGTCAGTTTGGGCAGGGGGATTATCTGACGTGTGTTTGTTCCTCATGTCATCGCAAGAGACGTTGGCAGCGTCAGGTGAGGCTGTGCAGACCAGGGTCTTCCTCCTCTTCCTCCTCTTCCTCCTCTTCCTCCACGTCTCGTCTGTGTACCTGCACAATAGTGCGATTATCAGGCTGCTCACTGTTTTGCAGGCGCCACATGAAGAGTCCATCAAAATCCACTTGGACTGTTGTCCTCACATTCTTCTAATATACATCTGCAGGTTCCTGATCGCTGTGTAACCTGCTGTAATATCTCCTGTGGAATCACTGACCCCCCCCCCCCCAGACACTCACTGTGTCTGTGGAAGTCAGTGATAAGTTAATGTTTCATCTCTCCACTTTTCAAACAGGATCCCTCAAGTTCTCTCGTGTTTCTTTTTTGTTTTGAACTTTTGCAAGATGACACACAAATCAATGCATGTCTTCGTTGCTGTTCTAGCTGCACAGGACTGTCACAGCTGTGTTGCAGTCAAAGCAACATGTGAAAGACCTGACAGCTACGTCTTTGCAAACGAATTGATTCGTGCAAAATAGCTCAAGGCGATAGGCGATATTAATATCTATTGCATTATAATGTTCCATCAATAGCAGCACAACAAAAGTCTGATATATATATATATATATATCGATGCATTGCTTATACGTTGTGCAAAGTGTGGAGGCCCTAATGATCAACCTCATTCTCTGCTCATAAAGAAGAGTTTAAAACCTCAGGAGCAAAATTCTGCCTTTAAACTTAAAAGACACAATAAAGTGACATTTATCATGATGGTTATCGATATCAACTGATTTTATCTTGATATAATTCTGGACCATGTCACTCAGCCCTTGTGCAAAACATGGATCTGATGTGTTTGTGTTGATGAGGGCGAGGGAGCTGGAATCTGCTGCGTGTGTTTTGCAACACTCAAGGGCGGTTAGTGGTGGTGGTTGAGGTGGGGGGCGGGGGGTTGGACCATGAATGTTTCCTCCGTGTTCCGCCCACAGATCCATTTCTTTGCACTGCCCCTCCTCCAGGAACAACCGAGCTGCTGCTTCCTTCCTGCTGAGGTCATTGTAAACACTGGACATTTTTAAATGTCCCGGCTCTGCACGCCCCAGTCTTCCTCTGTCTGAACCTCTGTCTTATTTGCTTCATGATTCCTTTTTTAACTATAATCTCTAAACCTATGGATGATGAATTTATCCATAAGAATAATGTAAGATGTAATATAATATTAAACTTTATTTATACAACCTGACTTAACAAAGTTACAAAGTGTGCTTAAAGACAGAAAAAAGCATAGTGATTAAAAGAGCATTGATTAAAACAGAGATAGTTAATCAGTTCATGATGCTTTTTTTTAGAAAAAAAAGGGGATTCTGCATATCTTGGCACGAGTATCACGCCAGAAGTAAATTTCAAGCAGCAAGTGAGGTTGAGTCAATGCTCTGCGCTATCACCACCCACATGTGTCATTCCACATAATCTGAATTTAGGAAATGCTTTCAAGTGAAATTTGTTCATATAAGGCAACTTTCAGCAAATCAGTCTTTAAATGACTTCCTGGTGTTTTTCCACCCGCTCTTCAAAACCTGTCTTCCCACCAGGATGCTAATCAAGATCCAGTCCCTTACAAAGGGTTCCTCAGTATACAACCTTGGAATTCAATTAAAATTGTAAACCAAAATGGTAAACCGTCACACAGTATCATGGCTCTGTGATGTGGAAATAACCAGCAGAGCTCCATTCACAGATCTAAATCAACTGTCAGGCACAGAGGGCCGTGTGATGCTTCTGTCTCCAGACTCAGCGTCAGAGGCAAGAACATCTGTCTTATCGGCTCAAGACTTTGGACCAATGTGAGGAGCTGAGTCTGATGAAGACAGTAGATCTTTAAAATCAATTCCCAGCACTCATTTTTATCATAAGAACATCTAATCATTATTTATTGAAGTAGTTTATCGCTTTGTTAGTGGTTGGCTTTATTTCTATTATATCAGATGGATGGATGGATGTTTCAGGGGATGTTTGGGTCACCTTGTACCATGCACCTTTATCACATTCCTCTTTACAGCCTGGGCCTGGGGGAGTCACACTCTCTCTCTCTTCCTTTAATCACCACATATTCTGAATTGTACTTTCCGGCCTTTGTGTTAATTGTCTAATCGCAATGGCACATTTTCCATATTTGTTATGTTGGCAGCAGCAGTAGCAGATAAGATCAGATAAGATCACGTGGTGTAATTGCAAGTGCATGGCATTGCTGTATTTTATGTGTGTCCGTGTGTTTGTGTACATGGAGGTGTGTGAGTCACAGTGTGTAATTGTGTGTTTGTTTTCCCGGCCGTCATCTCAGATTAATTTCCTGTGGTACACAACAGACTGGAGATGATGCTATCAGTGTCTTATCAGCGTTGTGCTTTCCAGAGTCTGAACCATATTATATTTTATCGCAGACAGGAGCCGTGGCCACAGTCACTCCGGTGTTACTTCTCTGTATCTTACCCAGACATCTTCTGCCTGACACAATATTCACTGTCAATACCCACTGCTAATATTTACTCCCCAGTGTAAATGTGCTGCTGAGCTAATTGAAAAAAACTCAAATTGATGTTTTGGCTATTCCAATATACTGTGTGCACGTGTAGTTTCTGGTTTTCTATTTATGGTAGAAGTGATGAAAACTTCTGAAATTTAGTTTTTTTATCCTGTAGAAATTGTTAAAAATCCTCCTCAGATTATTAATGATGATGATTGCTGTTTAATGAATCTAATGCCCCGACATGGAGACAATATCTCGTGTCTTGTGTGTGGAACCAGGCCAAACCACTGATAATACAGCAATCAAAACCAAACGACAGCATTGCTTGAATTATGTTTTCCACAGCAGAGCTAAATAAATCCTGTTAAGCCCTAATGCATCATGAGGTGGTGAGAAACTGCACTGGGAGTGAGGTGTCGGGCCTGTTTTTATTAAACCGCTCAAAGTGGCATTATGTGAAAACTGACCTGAACTGTTTATCACATTTCTTATTTAAGAGAGCAGCGGAGGTCTCTGAAGTGGATTGATGTTACATCCTAGATGAGTGAGGAACAGAAACAGAGGAACAAAAATTATATGGTACCTACCAAATTGCACACGTTTGTAGATATCGGTCCTCCACATATGACTCATTTTTCCATGAATGCATCCTTTGGAAACTGTTAACATTTTGAAAAGAATCCTATCTTGCAATGTTAAAGAAAGTGAAAAATAATTATTACATCTGCCCCCTGATCTGCACCAAAATTGAATGCGTTCTTCTCTGACCCATACCACATCCTAGCTCCAAGTATAGCTTTTGCGTTACCCAGCTTATTATTAGATAAATACACAAATGCTGATAAAAACACAACCTACATGTCTAAATATGTCAGCTAAAGAAAATTGATGATTCAAAACTTGGTAATAAAGCATAATTTTTTTAACATTTGATATAACTTATTTCCACTTTTATTATTTCAACCGAGTCAAAGCGGAAATCATATTAGTTTTCTCACACTTTTCTTGCCATGTCATTTTCTTTGAGTTCTGTGATCTACCTTTAGCAGAATGTCTATGATGACTGTTGTTAATTGCATATTGCATTTGTGGCTGTAAATGTGACAGATTGCACAGATAAAATTAACTTCTTTGAAAATCAAAATTGCATAATAGTTTTGCAGAAAAACTCAGCAAATGACATTTTTTACTCCTAAATTTGATAAATGTTTCACACAAGCTGGGGTTGAGATAATTCACTTCACCTTTGCACTCATAAGACAAGTAGCAGCCAGTTTTCACCCGTCGTCCTGATAAAGAAGCTGTAAAGGTGAAAAATCTGGTGTGCGATGCTTCATCTCTTTAAATCTTCAGGCAGAGTAGATGCAGAACAAGTTTGGCTCCCCCCTTCAGCAGAGCTGTCGAGTTGATTTCCAGCGAGATGTGTAACCTCAGACAGCACCAGCGAGTCCTTTCCAGTCACATCACTGTAAACACACGAGTAATAACGATGTTGGAGTTGAGTTTAATGTGTTTTTATGAGCCCCCGATCCTCAGGCGAGCGACAAACTTTGTCAAACTATGCTCCCACGCTAAAACGCTGCTCGGCTAAGTATAGGTTGAGTGGTGTGTTGCTTTGTGCGGTGTGATAGACGGATGTGCGGTTGTCACGTAAATAGATCATGCTGAACACCTTCAGGAATGCTGATGGAGAAAGAGAGAGGAAGCATTAGAGAGAAAAGTGAGAGTGGGAGAGGGGAAGGATGGATTAGAGGTTGGAGAGAGAAAGAAATCTGAATCAAACCTCTGTCTCTCATTTAAGGTAACAATAACCTGTCTTACCTCGTGTTTAATGCTAATCCTCATCCATCATGTTTGCTCACAAGCTCTGTAGTAACCTCTGGATTGTCGTGAGCAGTATAGTGTCTTTCAGTTCATATAGTTCCGGGCACCAGCTTCACTGTTTTGGGTCATTCTCAGTGCCGTTTCTGTTTTCAGCAAATAAAAACCCAGTCACATACCTCACTGTAGGCAACGTGCCCAGAACCAAACAACAGAGAGCCATGCTGATGAACATAATGGGGCATTAGCAGCTAAAGAGCCAAACGTCTCCCTCAGGATTTACTAGAGACCGTAAACAGAGCTGAAAAAAGGACTGAATATTGAAATCAACAGGTGGACCGAAACATGGCTCTGGTATTTGCAGATTGTATATAATGCCAACTGTTTGTTATGTAGCTATAGGTGATGATACGGCTGTGTCATCTTCTTTCTCCTGTTTTTATCTGTAGCAGTGTTGTGCAAATGATAACATTTGAAGTCTGGATCCACGCAAGTACATGTATGTGGCATGCAGCCATGGAGACTTGGTATCCTTGTGTGATATTCTAGGATTTTTACGAGGCCTAAGACAACACTGTGTTTGAAGATGGATACAGCGTGGCTGATAGAAACAGTACAGAGAGGCAGAGGATGAAACGCACTGGTGTTTCCTGACGATTGTTATTATGACATAAGTGGGATGAAGTTATTTTGGTTCTTAAATGTACTCCTGGGCTTTCTCAGGATCTGTTCCAGTAGGTATTGTTTTTTTCTTAAGAGAAGCCCCAGTGAGATTCTGGCTGATAATTTAGATTTTTGCAGCTCAGATATTGTGTCACTTTTGATTTTATTAGAGCTGGAATGACTAATCAATTAGTGGATTGACAGAAAAGGTTTAAATGATTACTGACTTCAGATCCGTAATACTTTCTGCATTTCTGAGTTTTATAAGATGCTTAACCGGATATTGTTGGATTTTTGATTGTTGGAGGAAAAAAGGGTCAGGTAAGGTAGATATAACAATATATATCAGCCAACATATTTATTTTAAAAAATGTCAATTATGCGTAATCGATCATGAAAATAAACATTAGTTGCACCCTAGATCTGGTCATAATTGTCATAGCAAATCCATATTCATAATAACTTGTCCAACAAATAACCTTTCAAAGTGTGCATGAACTTGAATTGGATTTGAAAACATGAAGCTGATGCCCACAAATCCTGTGAGATTGGGTTAAAAGCTCACGGTGCCTTCAAGATCAAGAGTGGACTCCCATGAACCTTCAGTGTATCAGGGTCTAACAGATGTTTCACCACGGTGCTGTTTCACAGTTTTGTGAGAAGGCAGGAGGGATAGTGCGCAATTGACAAATAGGTCTCAGACAGTCATATGTTGTTTGCTGGATCTCATGATTCCAAGTGCGTCATACAATTGGAGTGTTGTTTTTATTCTGTATTTTCTACTTGATACTCTGTCCCATCTGAACTCCTCCTGGAGCTTCAGTTGAAAGTGCAGATTCGTGAAAAACTTTGTTGATGTTCGGTTTATTAAAATGATCAGCTGGAGGTTCACTTGTTTTCAGGGAAGTATTTCAAATAAATCCTCGACCTGTAGGACACACTGGTGGTTCATTCACATGACCCTTAGACTTGAGCTGTAGGAAACACAACCTGGTGTGTGTGGTTTCCATGAGGCCATGAAACCAATAAAAACAAAACAGGGTTGTGTGTTTAGCTGTAAATGGGTGACCTGGGCGTACCTTAGTGCTTGCCTCATGCATGCTGGGGTTGGCACCACCTCCCTGCAACCATTATCAAGATAAACAGTTTGTATGTGTGTATTTTGTGCGTTTGTTTCTGAACACGTACATGTAGCTTAAGCCGGATACAGAAAAATGCAGCTTGCATGTCACCAAACCTGTAATCAAATGTCCCGTTCATAGTTTTTCATACGAAGCAGTGACCCAGGGTAAATAAAGTTAGCCCTAAATTGTAGTATTGTGATTGTCACAGAAGAGAGCTGGTGGATATCTACTGGAAAAATATGAGTGAGGAAAGTGAATGTTCATTTTCTACTGTCTATCAGAGATGCCTTTGAGCAAGGCTTTTAAACCTCTAACCACTAAGTGCCCCAGCAGGGGCAGGTCGTGACCCAAAAAAGAGCTCACTGTGTGTTGGATAAACGCTTAAATACAGGCAACAAAAAAGAAGCCAGACACATGACATTTTTTGTGTGCTTTAGTGAGAATCAGGACATGAGCATATTCATTATGTACAGGTCAGCAAGTTGAGAGGGGAGGAGGAGGAAAGCCCCCCCCAGAACACACACACACACACACACACACACACACACACACACTGTGTCCCTGTAGTCTCAGCGGCATGAAGCATCAGATGTTTTTTTTCGTGACATGATTCTTCAGAGCCGCTGAGCTGATGTGTGTTCATCTGTGTCCATGTGTTGAATATTTCCATGTTTTTTTGCATTAGGATTGATATGTCTGATATCTTTGCTCATTGTGCACATGTTTGGGTGAGTTAGTGCATGTGTGTGTGTGTGTGTGTGTGTTGCTGTGCCAGAGGCAGCGTTCTGGCCTGTTTCTATCCAGGTGTGTGTTTTTGGCCTGAGGGGAGACAGAGCAGATGCTCCCTGTACGTGTTCTCAGTGTGTGTACGGGTCGGTGTAACTGACTGGCTGTCAGTGAGATCTCCCCGGCCAAAAGATCTGAGCCACAGCTGGAAAGATACACCGAGCTGTTAAAGGGACCAGAAGTATCAGTGCAGGTAGTTTAACAAGGAGCAAACCGACTGCCTGCCTTTAAACACAGAGAGAAGATGCAAACTCTTTGTAGAAAGACCCACGCTGAAGCAAATGTGCAATCCTAATTACAGTGTTTGTAACTTAAGCAAAGGATGTTGTCGTTTCCATAAAATGTTATGGCTGGGATTCCAACCAGGAACCTTCTTACTACTGCTCAACAGTGCGTATCACTGAACCACCACTGCTCTAAAATGTGACCTAGTATTTCGATTAGCAAGAATCCCATTGAAGTTGTTTTAAAAGTCTGAAACATACTCTTTTTTAACAACCTGAACTGTCCATGCAAACATATTGAAGCTCAGTCTTCAGTATGAGCTTTCAGATTAGAGCATTCACAGCAGAGATCTTGAAATATCAGCATCTTCTGAGACATTTATCAGCAACATGTGCAAACAGGTGCTCAGAGATTATAATTGTGTGACAGAAATTACTTTTTCACTGCTCTGTTAATCGCACAGCTACTTTGACCTGATTGACTTAATCAGTTTTAATGTTTACTGTATTTATTTCATCCAACACACACACACACACACACACATTATTTCATGGTGTTTCTGACTGATTTTATTTGTAGGATTAAATTTTACATTTTTGGCCTCTAGTGTAGCTGATCCCTCAATCTAGTGTGATTTATATGATTAACAGGAATAGAATAAATTGGCATTTTCACCCCTTTTTTTCTAGCAATGTTATTATTCCAGTTTATAAATGGATCAATAACAAATCTCCAACACAAAGTATATTATCTTTTATACATGAGATTCATCCAGCCGTTAAATTGACCTGTCGAACATTAAGTCACTCGATTAAATGTCATCTGCTCTCATCTGGTTCGTCTCAAATGCTGGACGGTGACTTTGATTCTGATGCCAGAGGTGTCAGGACAGAGTGTGATCTGAAGGAGGAGTAACGGGTGGTGGGGAGACAAAGCCGCCTGTGTGATCATATGAACTGACACATCGGCTGATGACGCTTGTGCCTGTGGCAGAGTTTGTAGAAGAAGCCAAATTTTTGTGACTCTGTTCGATGAACTGAAAATGTCAGCTTCATATAGTTTACTGTGTTTTCATCTTCTTTTGCTCGCACCCTGAAATTGTCAGTGCCAGATTATATGATACTTAAGTGCGTGCATCAGTACTATAGGACATAGGATGGAAATATTTTCTCCAGTCAGCTGTTTCTGTGACTCGCTGCTATGATGAGGATTGAGGCAGTTTAACTTGTGGCACTGCAGCACAAGACGGCAGCAATTATTAATACTTTTTTCAAGTTTGTTCGAATTCAAAAGACATTTTTAAATTGTATTTTGTCAAAGAAACAGTCAAAACATAAGTACATTTTTTGAATTCTGTTTTCCTCATCAATAAATGTCTTTCTTCTTTTCTTTCTAGGAGATCCGCCACACCAGGCCTTGTGGATTAATTGGATACCTTCATCTAAGGGGATGCCCTATTTATTAGTTTTCTCACAAAGCCCATGGATTTCATTGAGTGTGTTGGAGAGGCCTTGATCACAGATATGTCAACACTGCATCAGGATATTTCCAGTGAAGAAGCACTTCAGTAGAAGACTGTCGGGAGTTTGTGTTTTCAGCATTCAGAATATTTTTTACAATGTTGTAATTGCACAGGCTCCTCACTCTGTTTTCTCAGGACACCACCTTTCTTGACTGTAGTTTAGTCTCACTTGGACATCTGATCCAGATACACATACATCTCCTAAGTATACACCCCATATTGTCTCACCATGTACGGGAGCTCACGTTCCATCTCAAAGCTGGATGTTGTCGGATCCAATGGTAACGGGTCGGTTTCTGGGAGTCCTGGTCGCTCCCCGCGCCTCCCCCGCTCCCCACGCCTCGGACACAGGAGAAACAGCAGCAGCAGCTCCACCGGCGGACTAACTGGCTCTGGTAAAACCCTGTCAATGGAGAATATTCAGTCTCTTAATGCCGCCTACGCCACAGGCGGTCCTATGTACTTCTCGGACACAGTTGAAGACCCGATCGGGATTGGGAGTCTGGGCAGTGGGCTGAATCCCTCGCTGCCCAAAAGCACCATGACCTTGGGGAGGGCCGGTGCCAGGGTTCCTTATGGAGTGAGGGCGGCAGTTATGGGCAGCAGTCCTAATATAAACATTGGAGGTGTAGGTTGTGGAGTGGTCATGCCTACTGATGCTATAGCGTTTGGAGGAGAGCTGCCAAACCAGCCTCCACAGGCAGCTACTGTTCCCCACTCCATGAGACAGGTGAGTCACAGATGTGTTCTTCTGTTATTGATATTATAACTTATTAGCAAATCATCTTGTAAGGGTTTAAAAATTAAAACAGCAAAACAATGAAAAAAAAGTGACATAACTGTGAACCATCTGTTCTATGAAGAGATTATTGATCATCTTGGTGTCTAAGAGTTAACGTTTTCTTTTAAAGTCACCCTTTAATTAAATATACATAAATCCTGTGTGCTAAAATAGAAAAGGTCAGCCCTCCCACTGCCTGTTCACCATTAGTCATAACCTGAAAGCTTATCTCTCCAAGTGTCTCATTTCTCCCCCATGCCTCCCCCATCTAATCGTTTCTAATTATTTCTAAAGCAAAACATTCGTTCATCTCTTCTCAACCCTTATTTCCTTAACAAGCTTCATTCACTCTGTGACATGGTGATTGTGAGGATGCTGTTACTCTATAGCTTGACTTTCTTATTTGTAATGTTGCTGATATAAGAATGCAGATACATTTTGGTGTAGACTCTGCTTGTTGTTTAATGCATTCAAAGTATTTTTAATTCATTAATACACCGCACTTCATACGCCAAGATGAATTAAACATTTATATGGGAAGTGTATTCTCATTAATATTGAAGTTAGTTGTGTAATCCATGAAAGAACTCGGTCTATAAATGTCTGTTTTATCTTGAGAAAAATGGTTTGTTGCAAAATCTTGCCTCGGTGTAAATCATGTGTGTAAAAGTGCTTCACATACATGGCTGTTATTTTCCATATTTAATTTCACATACTTGTTATCTCCGTTATCTCCATGTGACGATCATTGGGTTAAATATTCAGGTGAGAGACGGAGCCATGTCGGACCTGCAAACACAACTAAGAGAAGTGCTGAGAGAGAATGAGCTTCTACGCAGAGAAGTAAGGACATTTTCATGCTTTTCAAAAGAAGGAGCATGATACTTGATTTTATAATTAAATACATTTCGGATTTGATATTTTCAGTTCAGTGACAAATGTTGTTCCAAAGTCTTCTTGGAATTCTGCAGTCCAAAACTGAAGATTAAGACAACAGCAACAAGGAAAAATAAGTGAATGTGACAGAAGGAAAATAAACATCAACTGTAAACTTAATAAGTGATATTTAAGGTAATTGACTGAAGAGAGATGAAGCATCCCAGTGGATGAGCAGTCATTAACACAAAGTCACTGTGTTCGATGCTGATTCCTCACAGCTGGAGGCTAAAGAGTCCAAGCTGAGCTCCTCTATGAACTCCATCAAGACGTTTTGGAGTCCAGAGCTGAAGAAGGAGAGAGCGGTCAGGAAGGATGAAGCCACAAAGATGGCCGTCTGGAAGGAGCAGTACAGAGTCGTACAGGAGGAGACACAGGTAGGAAAAAGACATCTGTGTGTGTGCGTGTCTGGAACTACGTTTGTATGGGACACTGAATTATATATATTATATATATATATATATATATATCTGGAGTGTCTTTGCTGGCTGCTCAGAGTCAAAGAGAAGGGAGCAAGATGTCACCAGTTATATCCTGTTCAGCAGATACTGCATTTTGAATTTGGATTTTCTTCACAACTGAGGAAAGCACAAGTTTTAGAAAAGGTGCTTTGAGACGTACAACTTATCTCACCAGAATATGAAAAAAAATCCTGGATTATATGTTTCTTTGGATCCTCTCTAAAACGTATAGGGTTCTTCTTTGTGTCAGGCCACATCTGTCCACAAAGTTCTTTTGAAATTGGTTCAGTAGTTTTTGACAAATGCTGCTTACAGACAGAAAAACAAACAGTGAAAACACAACCTCCTTGACGAAGGTAAATATTTCTTCCAAACTGTCCTACTCAGTTTTGCCTGATTTTATTGGACGGCACACGGGGGAGGGTGTATCTGGATCTTTTTATGGACTGTTCTGGTGGATTTGTCTCACTGCGGCCTCGAAGAGGGATAAGCAGATGAAGCGGGCTGCCTGGTTGGGGACTCCCAGCTGTCTTATGGTTCAGGAGCCATCTGGATGAGATGGAGACACAGCTAGTCTGGCAGGAGGCTGGGATATTACGCAAGAGATGCACACATACTCGCTGTCACTCGCAGTGTTGGATTTCACATGCTGTCACGGACCAGCGCAGAGAGGCCTCATGCACTCGCCTCCTTTATTTTGAAGAAAATAATGTCGTTTTCACTTTTTGGTCATTAACAGGTGCTCTTAGAACTTCAAGTGTGAATGTATTAAAGGTTGGATGTTGCTCCCAGGACAAATTTAATGTGGATTACATCAGCAAATTTGCTTTGACATGTTTTTTGGATGCAGTTTGGCATGTTTGAGAACACTCATGCAGTTTGTGCGTGACTGTGTATAAATATTTTATTCAAAATGTGTCTGAGAGAGAGAGAGAGAGAGAGCGAGAGCGTGAAGGAACACATGATAAATTGATTCATTTACCGTGTATTTAACCTGCTGCTATTCCTACAAAACTCCTCACTTGCCGTCACACACACACACCCACACACACCCACACACACCCACTCCTCCCTGGGTGTGTGTGTTGTTGCAGTGAGTGCAAACACACGTTAAGACATGTAAGAGATTATTTCCTTTTCTTTTAATGTTGGGAAATATGTGCTCCCTCTCTTTGTTCGTCGCTTTTACTTTTATTCCCTTTCTCCCCGACAGACAAATCACACCCTTTCAACCCGAGCCATCCTTTTCATTTCCTGCTCTCATTATCTTGTCACTTTCCCTCTCCTCACTCGTCCTCTTTCTCTGTTCATCACTGGTTTTTCTCTGTCCCCTCGCTTTTTTCTCTTTCCCTCTCTCAGTTCTTACTCATTCTGCTTTTCTTCTTCTATTTCTGTCATCACCCGGTGAGTCAGCGCTCGCTTTCTCTCTCCTCCTTACCTCCTACCTTCTCTCCTCTCTCTCCTCTCTCTCCCTCTTTCTCTCCATCTTTTCCATCATCTTAGTGTTAGAAAGTGAAAAATTCTACCTCCCAGTAAATTTAGGCTACACACACAGACACACACACACACACCCTGTTCAGGAATGCACATATCATCTCCACACTTCTTCTTCCTTGTCCTTCCTACTTTCCTCCACACTTCCTGACTTACTCACCCCCTCCCTCATGCCTTACCCACTAACTTCACCTCTCTTTCACCCACTTCTGCTTTTCTTTCCTCCCTCTCCCACTCCCTTCCTCTCAATAGAGTCAGTGCCAATAAAACACAAAGTAAAACATTCCTGATCTCATGCTTGTAAGACATTGTTTTTTATAAACAAGATGCAATAAATGATGGTGTAATTATATACGACGAAATGACAAGTTTTTGTGTTGTCTGTTGTATATTTGATTCCTGTGGGATGCTGGCACAGGAGTAACAGAACAAAAATGACAAACATTTTATGGTTTCATCACTGAAAATGTGAAGAACTGCTGCTTTTCTTTGTTTAGTTGTCAGTCTAAAGGTATTTTGAGGACGCCCCCTCTTGATGGGAACTTTATATAATTAATGGATCAATTCTAACAATCTAAACAAGTCAAGTACTCAGCCCCCTGATTCTTTTGTAGATTGTAAGGTTGGGAAAGTTGTTTCTTGACATTTTTAGTGGCACATTTCTTAAGACGAATTATTTTAATTTTCAGTTGGATCAATACTTTTCTTCCCTGGATATTTCTTACTTTGTCGTCTTGGGTGCAGCATAATAAGCTGTAAACACAACAGTGGCGGTGTATTTAAACTGTGTAAAATTGTGTGTAGTTGCCTTGTTACACTTTCAGCAGACACATTAATATTACAACAACATAAGCAGTATAGTCAGGAGTTGCGTTTCAGACCACGTCACAAACGTTATACAATATTTGCTCTACTTTTTGCCATGTTTGCTTAACTTTTATCTTTATCAACTCCTGACGAAATACTCCCGCCCTTTAGAAGCTAAACGCTCCAGTATATTTACCCACTGTAACTTTATCTGTCCATTGTTTGGTCCTGGTGCGTACAGTTGGTTTATTAGAACCTTCTGAAAACCTGAATCGAAAACTGCTGCAGTAAATGTAGTGAACCTAAACAGTAAAATTGTGGGCTGTTAAGTGTTTTATGATTTTATGAGTTGGTTGGTTGATATAAATATATTGATTACTTCTGGGGTGGCCGGGTGGCTTTTTCAGACAGAAGACCCCCCATGAGAAAGGATAAGTGGTATAGATAATGGATAGATGGACGGACAACGGGCTGAAGACAGAGGACAGATAATAACATATTGTTAATTGACATTATGGTCAGAAACTTTCTGTTTGTGTTCGTGCTCCTGACAGGTGCTTCTTACCTTAAGGTACCAAAGTGAGAAAAAAAGAGAAAAAGATCTACTTTTTTTGCATATCTGCAGATTCACAGTCAGACTATATGTCAGGCTGTATTTAGTCTCATCCCCACTGGTTTTAAGATTATTGTTCTCTCCCTATTTACTGCCAGTTGCCGTCTCTCCTGTCACAACCCACATCCAGTAATTTTACCACGTTTTCTCATCATCGTCATGTCACCCTCCATCTCTCTCCTGCCTCTCTCTCTTTCTCTCTGTCTCACCATTTCGCTCCCACTGTCCGACACCCTCTTCTCCCCTCTCTCCTCACTCTCCATCTGGGCCTGTGGAGCAGCTTTGCCACAGACCATGATTCAATAGAGGCGACACACAAACAATATGATGATGATGCCTGCTCTGTTCGGCCTCAGGTCAGCGTCATCTGTCTCCTTTGTCCCTCTCTCTCTCTACTGCCTTTGCTCTGGTCTCTGTAAATGAGAGCGTACACCCGATTTGTTCCACCTCTTTGATCACAGCAGGTACGTACGACTTCTCACACAGAAAGAAAGCAAAGCTTGGAAAAACAGGAGAAGATGAAGGAATGTGTGGAATGCTCAAGGAAAGCTTCTCTGCCTTTGGTTTTTCTTTCAATTCAAAGTTTTTTTCTTGTACACAAAAAACTTCCACCTCTTTTTTCCTTCTGCTCTCCAATCAGTTTTCATTTAGATAGATATAAAAGCTCAAGCAGATGACAAGCAGCAGTTAGCACTCATGATTACAAGAGCATCACGGTTTCATGTTGATATCTGACGAAATCCATGTAACTTAGGGGAGTTTATGGCAGAAAAGACATATTGCTGGTGCTGGTTATTTGTCTAAAATCTCAATGAAATTATCACTTATAAGATTTAATATTTCATGCATATTAAGCTACATAGGCTTAATAAATAAGTTTTGAGAACAACCTTTGAACAGAATGCAGGACTGTTACTCTGTGCTCTATGTTTGTCCCAGCAATGAATCAGAGGGATGAACAATAACTTCTGTGTCTATCTGTTTCTGGGGCTGCTAGATGCCATCAATTCTCTACTGTACTCCAGGCCAGCCATGCGACGACAGACCCAGCATGCATGTTAATGCGTGTGTGTTTGTGTGTGTGAGTTTCACTTGTATGTGATGATTTGGATGTATTCATTTTTAAGAAGAAGGCGCTGCCAGCCCGGTTTGTTTGTTTCCTTGATGAGAAAGAGAGAGAGAGAGAGAGAGAGAGAGAGAGAGCAGCAGGAGGGAATCTTTGTCCTTCCGTGTGTTGGCAGGCTTACATGTGTGTCAGGACAATTGGGCTTTTTGTAAACATAAACGTGTGTGTGTCCGTGTGCAGGCACGAATTGCCTAGTTATAATTGTGTAACTTGAATTGCATGTGATGTAGTGGTCTGCTCTGTTCTGCATCCACCGTCTCTATTTTTATCAAGTCTGTATGATTTTGTTTGGATGCAACAATTTGTGCGTGTTGTGTGGAAATCAAAAATACATTGAAGTTGATGTCAGAAGACAAGTGAGTGTGTGTGTGTTTGTTAGAGCCTAGTGGCTGTTGTTCTTTTACTGCTGCACTGTTTTCATTCTCTTCGATTATTTAACTTAATACTCCAGGTGCTAGTTTGGAATAAAGGTGTGTGTTTGTTCGTGTGTGTGTGTGTGTGTCATATTATCATGTTGGTGGAGAACTATTGGTTTTAAGATTTTATAAAAATGCCAAAATTGTCCAAACAATATATGTATATCGGTTTAACTTCAGAGTTTCTGTTTTGTTTGTGTAAAATTATACCTGCTGAACCCAGTGGGCTAGAGGGCTGGAGATTTGCCTGCTCTTTCTCTCTCTGTGTGCGTGCATACATGTGAGGAGGTTAATCCAAACAGGCAGACGAGTACAGTGCCCGTTACACCTGGGTGGCACTTCACCTTCAGGTCAAGAGTATGATGAGGGAGATAGAGAGGGGAGGCAGATTCGGAGAGGCTGTTTTCCTGTCTCCTCTCTTTTCTTCCTCTTCTCCCCGTCTGCATTTTTTTCTGCATTT